GTTACACACTCTCCCCAGACAATATCTACTCTGTGTCAGTGACCATCTGTGATCTGACTCCCCCGTCTCTGTGTCCAATGGGGCCTGTATGACCCCCAATGGTCATCCATGTCCTCCACACCTTCATTTACCCCACTGACTGTTCTCCATCCCAAAGCCAGAGAGCTCTTTCTAGAACCCAAACTGCTGACTTAACCCTCCAAGTGTTCTGCTCACTAAAGTTCAAGTCCCCGGCTTGTGAGCATGGCCTTGGTGAGATCCCGCCCCTTGGAGCGCCCCACTCTAAGCACCCCCAGCTCCTCCCGCAGGCATTTCCCTTCCTACCTCATGGGGCTATAGCTGGGGTTCCATTTTCCTCTGCTTGGAAGCTAACAAATAAGCCTGGCAGAAGACAGGACTTGATGACTCTCGCCCAGCCAGCAGCCTATTTGTGCAGGTTCCCTTTTCTCCCGAAACCCACAGGGTGACACGGGGGCCCAGACAGACACCTGCATGGGAAGAAGGCTGCATGATGAGAGAGGAACTCCGGGCTTGGGCAACATGGCATTTTATAACAAGCCCGGTCTTTGGCGCTGAGGGAGACATGACCTCAACCCTCAGACTGCAAACTCCAGCCTAAGAAATAGAGCGGCTGAAGCTTTGCTTTGATGGCACACCCAACCTTCCTAATCCTGCCACACCTCCTTAGGCCTCGGTAAAAGGATCCCTGGCTCTGCCCTGGGGACCTTTTCTTCCCTGGACCCCTGTCTACCCCTCCCCAGTCCTCTCACTCTGGGTGCTGGCCAGGCTTCATTCCTCATTTCCCCAGCCCCTCTGGCCTCACCCTTTGTCTGAGCTGTTCCTTAGGAAGTGAAACAGAACATGCCACCTCCAAAATATGCCACTGCGTAATGATTTTGAGCTGTAGGCACTTAAAAAACAGCAAATACAGGGAGAGGCCTTCTCTAAACTACTATCTGCCTGAAGGCCATTTCCTCCAAAAGGACCTTATTATCATAAATCCCCTCCCAGGGAGTTTCATCAACAATGAAGACTGCCTCTTGTAACAGGAGACATCAGAAAGACACCACACCCAGACAACCCTCCCAACTATTCTTCTAAGGGCCCATTCAGCTTCCCTAAAAATCTTTTACTCTCCCCTGTCCTTTTGCCCTTTCCCCATTATGCTGGTATTTAAGCCTGAATTCTAAGCCATCTCCAGGAGTATTTTTCCCTGGGCATCATAACCTGTTTTTCTCTTTTTTAATCTGTCTTTTATGATGGGGTCTCAGCCAAGAAGAACTAAGAAGAGAGAAAATGATTTTCCCTCCCCTACAGTTTCTGGTGATTCAGGTGGAACCTCTGAGACACCTCGCTTGCTCAGAACCTGCATATGGAATCCCCGGGAAAACTGGCAAGAGCCCGCGAGGGGGAACAATTATTTTTCCTCCCCTACACTTGTTTATGAATTCTTTATCATCCTCAGTTTCTCTTGCCATTGAAACAGTAACTACCAATGATGGCCTGGTTTCTCCTGGGTGGTGGGATGAAGATGTGTTAGGCTGGTTTCGAGGTTAAAGCCATGGTGGACAGGCTATGAGGATGGTGGGACCAGTCTGGCAGTGATGGGCACAGACCTACAAGGCAGGTGAAGACTTGGTTTGGGTAAAGCTTTGTGAGGGAGACATGGCAAAGATAAAGAAGATGACTATGCTTTGAATGCCAGGCTAAGATATTCCCACTCTATGCTACAGAGCTTTGGGGATGACCACAGCAAACTTTTAGGCAGCAAGGCCATGTGCTAGGCAATGTTCCAAGTTCTCAATGCACATGAACTCATGTAACCTGATGACCCCAGAAGTAGGTAACATTATTATCCTCATTTTACAGGTGAGGAAACTGAGGAGAGGAGAGGTTATATAACTTGCACAAGGCTCATAAGTGGGCAGAGCCAGGATTTGAAGTTAGCATCTAGGTTTCATTCTCAGTGGGGATGACATTGCCTCCAAGGAGGATAAAAAGTGGGTTTTGTGCTTTACATCTAAAATACAGTTATACATGCAGAACATTAACAGATAGACACCATGTCCATGTTGTTGAAATTTCATAAGAGGCCATTAAAGATGTAATGTCTAAAAACACTTACTGACCAAGATGGCAGCAGATTAGGTAGAAGCTACACTGACCTTCTCCCAGGACCAAACAGGAATTACAACTAAAATATAGAAAAATCTTCCTGAATAACCAACTTAAGACTAGCTGGAGAGAAGCCTTATAACCGAGTGTGGTAGGCAGTTGTTGTAATGTACCCTGCGAATCACACAAGGACGCCTCAAGAAGTGGAATTAAAGAGTCACATTTATTGCAAATCCGGGACTATGAGGGGGCATTTCGCTCTCCCAAATATCATAGTTTCCTCCCTGGCCCCAACACCAGATTTTTATAGGCAAAGATGACAAAGGTATTGATTACATCCCAGGGTTTGGAATGAGGAACTTGGTTTGCAAAAAGCAGTTTACAGAAGCAGACCTAAGCATGTTATCTAAATTATAGTTTTGGGTCTCCCGGATCACTGAGTTGACAGAAACACATTATCTAGAGCCCTCGGGTCTTGGAACCACTGAGTCAACAGGGACACGTTATCTGGAGCCCTCTGACCTTGGGATAATTGTGCTGTCCTTCCCAGGTACAGAAGAATGTGCTTTCTAAGACCAGTATGACCACAACCAATGGGATATTCACATTACAATCAATAGGGTATTTAATTGAATGGGATGATTTATATAATTCAGAACATCAAAATAACTTCTCTATTATTTTAGCAAGCAAATAAGTACAGAAACCAAACAGCAGGTTAAAGTTAAACTATAGTTTCTACCTGAGATGATTGCTACCATACTTCACAGTTAGACAGACTTGAGCAGAGCAAGGACGATGGGCCATATACAGAAGGTCACCATGATGGGAAGACCTGGGTGCTTAGCAAAGAACAACTGTAAAGTGGAACCTCATCCTCAGGGTGACCTTTACTCCCCTAGTTTATCGCCGGTTATGTGGTTTGGACCTCCTGACCTTTCTTCCCTAGAGATAAAAATTAGGCCCCAGTTGTATTTCAGCTCCAGGCCCTGAAAAACAGACAAGTGATGCCACAGCTGACCTCAGGACCAGCCAAATTGAATAGTCATCCCTACCTGGTGCCCACCAATCAATCAGTGGAGACCCTAAACCTGAAAGGATACATTTGGAAAACTGCTGAGAAATTCTATTGAGATATTCTCCTGGGACCTCCCCTAAAATCTCCACCTTAACACCCTTAGGCCGGAGGACCCAATATGCTGGGGGGGGGGGAGCCCGCACCTTTCCCTTCCCCTTCCACACCCCCCAGGTGTCACCATTACCTTCCTCACTCCCAAGATCCAAGAGCCCTTCCTTTGCCTCTATCACTTGTTTCCTCAGCCCATTTCTTCTACGAATTACTTCTTCTACCTCTGTGATTTTATTTTATTTATTTATTTTTTAAATACATTTTATTGATTTTAGAGAGGAAGGGAGAGGGAGAGAGAGAGATAGAAACATCAA